TAATCCTAATTCGGAGTTCACGATAATTAAGTTTCCAAAAGCGAGCGAGAATGAAAATATTTATTTGTTGTCAAAAACGTAATGTAAATAAAATGGGAACGGCACGGCACCCAATTTTTTACTTTGCTCGAAATTGGTGAAAAGAGATTCTTGTTGCTAAGAGAAGTGAGATGAGGAAGGAAATAATAATAATGATGATGATAATAAAAGAGTTCTGAAAATTATGTGACCTAGTATGAACTGTTTAAATGGGTATGTAGAAACTTGATAAAGTGTTACTATCGGTAGAAAATAGAACCGATTGTTATATGATATCATTCATTAGTTACAATAAAATCCGTTTTTCAAGAGACAATTCAAACATTTGGCCTTATTTATATACGCTACTGAGCCTATGCTTTGTATCTTACTATTTTACAGTACACTTACTGTATATATACGGCTGTAACATGTTAATTTAGCAATGTACATTTAATACGTGAGCTGTGGAGATCTGCAAAAAAACGATTATTAAGGAATTTTTTTTTTTTTTTCCTTTTACACTAGATATAGTTGATAATTACACTGACTATTGAAAACTGACAGGGATGTGATGAACCCCTAGAAATTTATTCTTGCGGAAATAATGCAGGTAAGAAATCCATACATTCGCCGTACGCAGAACAGAGGTTGACACTCAAACACACACTCCTTCGGTCGATCGCTCAAGGTTTTGGTTCAGGCAGAGGATTCGCCGGTCGGTAGATCGTGCGAAGAGGTGATGACGAAAGGTGTGGTGAAGGCTTATTCAAAATGCAGAAACCCGACGTTCAATTGTTATCTGCGAAAGGGTATCAAATAGTTTCGACCATTATGCGTCTTTATTTGTCGATCAGGTGATTGAGCTTGTTTCGTATGAGTCATACGCTAAATCGGTGGCATTCACTAAATTCCGAAATTTCATCATCACAAAAAAAGACAGTTTATTATGCAAATGAGAGTTTATATGGTAGATTCCTCTTTCAATAAGATGCAATACGCAAAAAAGATTTTCCAGACGGAATTTCCGAGTTCATTGTCTATTTCATTCATTAAATTAAGAAATGA